TAACGAACGGAGCATACAGAAGCACGAGTTTTAAACCCCAACATCAACATATAAACTCATAGTGTAATATGATCTTGAATATTCGCCCCGTACGTATGTTTTCTCTTCTCATTTTGCCGTGTTTGCTATGTGACATGAAACAATTATCACATGTCTTCCTATATGCGTACGTGTTTATTTGTGTACGTTTGCCGCATAGCTTTTCTTGCCTGGAAAATTGATGAAGTCATAAGGGTACATGTTAGTACAGAGAGACTGGAAGTGCCGTATTTCAGAAGCGACACTCACGGATTTCATTAGCCGGCGCTCGGCGTTTGTAATTTTCCAGGAAAAAGTGGAAAGGATGAATGCATATTGTGCAATGAGAGAATTATAAAGCTGGATTTAATTAATGTCAATTTTATGATTCTTAGAAATTTGTTTTTTATGAGAGAGAGAAATAGTATACCATGTGCATGGTTTTATACTTCATAGCCAATTATTACAGCGGAAAATGGAATATGTAGTCAGATTCATGCAGAAGACATTTAATAAGAGTACATATTAATTTCTAATAGTTGTGTCTTTGTATTTATTAAAGTCTAAAAGTTGTGTCTAGTCGTTTAAATTTTTTGCACAAATGAGCTTTTTTTTAAATTTGTATTCATCAATAATAATAATTAATAATAATTTCATTTACCAATGAATAATAATAAATTCACCACTTGATGGCCTCAAATATTTTGTTATTATTTATTACAAACCAATTTTTTTTAATTACTATATTTATTACAACTGCTAAATAATTAACATCTAGTAACAGTAATGAACAATTATATAAATTTAATAAAAAGAGCACAAAATAAAAGATAGAATTTTTAATAAAATGATACACTTAATAAGTGATTTAATATAAAATAAAAGCAAGTAATACTAATAAAATTAATAAGTAAAATAAATAAAATTTCTGAATAATAAAAATAATAATGTAGAATAAAAACAGTAAGTAAAAGATAATGATAAATATAACAAAATAACAATATTAGAAATAATATTAGAATTAGGAACATACTTTTATTATCCTTTAATTTCTAGTCAATAATTATAAAAACTTTAGATGTTCAGACAATTATATATTACTTTTTTATTTCATTTAGTCCTTGTTTGGTGTATTTTATGTACATATGATGGAAATGCACATCTTTTAAACTTTAGAAATATTTTTGTGTTTTTTTCCATTTTTTTATCTATACATTGATCTGAAATAAATTATTTGTCATAATTCGGATTTATAGCATCCGTAAACCATTTGATTAAACGCGTATAATGGCACTAATTTGCTATATGAGTTAATTAAATGCACATAAATCTGATTTGCTCATTACTACTTTATGCATGTAAACATATTTCATGAATTCGAACGTTGAATTGTAATAGACCTTACAAACCACATTTACGCTATTCTAAACTATATATTGATTTATTTTCATTATAAAAAATAATAACAATGAAGAAAAGAAATATATTGCATTATTAAATTTATCGGCCATAGTAAAAACACGGTAAATTTTAATTGGATTATGAATATATTAGAATATCAACAAACTATTAAATTAAACTTAATAATAACCTTTAATAACGTTTAATTCAACATGTAATAAAATGCAATGTAAAATAATGTAATGTAATGTAATTGTAAGAGCTTTTGATTTCGCAAACTGTTTCAAATATTTTATCAAACATTAGCAAATATATGATTTGTAATTTAGTTTTTCATAATAACTATAACGTATTAATTGTATTTTCAAAGTTTTTGTTTATCTTAGCAAATGTTTGGTAGTACTTAGAATGACTAAATCTAATTCCAAAATAGTGATTGGACTCACAGGTATGTGGGTTAAGATTTAACGTGCAAAGTGTAGGTTTTCTTGAACACTATGTATATTTCGTATCTGTTACAAGTATTATTAGCTAGTTTGTTGTTATATATTTCATTAATTTTGTTAAATGTTTCAAATCGTAGTACTACTAAAGATAGTAGGGTAAGGTTGTATGTCAGAATACTTGCAAGAATAAAAAATTCTAAAATAATTACCCTTTAATTTGATGAATTGCAGTGGTGTTGTATTGATTCTCATAAAACAAAATTTAGTTACTCTCCCAATTTGTAGACAAAACATAAATTTGGTCTGTCTATTTTTATCACATCGATAATATTTACCGTTCAGCACTGTTTTTTCGCCAGTCACACCCCAACTGCGGTTTTATACACTAATGGTGGCGACATTGCGGTAACATTGGCAAATAAATGATCGTGCTTTGTTATTATGCTAATGGATACGCGCGGATTTAAAACATGAAAAGTTTGCCTCGGTGTGTTCCATGCATTCGGGGGCACGAAAAAGAAAAGTTTAATATAAGGTACATGTTGAAATATACCATTCACCCTTTGCATTATTATTTCCGGGGTCAAGTGATATATTCTTATTATCGAAAAATGCAGAATGCAAACTAAGGACCTAATTTGTTTTCAAAAAACGTCTAGAAATCAAAAAAGTCATATTAATATATATGCAGTTACGCATTATTTTGAATATCTAATACATTATGCCTTCCTTATCGTTTCCAGTAGATGGAAATATAAACTATAGTCGTATATTAGTATGAAGTAGTATTTAAATTTCTTTGTCACAATTGGCAAAATAAAAATATTAGGCTTAAGATTTGAAAACTGTTTTATTCTTATAATTAGACAAAGGTGAAAACTATTGACAAAAGCATTAAGATTTACAGATTGAATATTTTTTCAGTAACGTGTGTTAAGAATAACATTTTAAAAACCCATGCTATACGTTTAATGTTATTATAATTTATTTATAATGATATTATAATATTATATCAAAAACATGAGCTCTTTATATTCCACATAAAAAATGAGGTATTTTCAAATATATAATTTTTTTTTAATTTAATCGTCAATGATCATTGCTATAAAAACGGAAAATAATGTAGTATTAATAATTTACATTCCTGAAGAAAATTATGGAAGCCAAGTATTAACATTTTATTTCAATCGATATGAAACTTATTGCCATTGAAGCAAAAGCCTATCAGCATACTTTTTATTTTATGAAAGCAATCTATTTTTTTGTTCTTAAATAACTCATAATATAATTTCTCATAATTAATGACTGGAATTATCAGAAGACTACCCAGTGGTTGTCCATTTTCCTTGTAATGAGATTATTATTAGACATTTCTAATAGAGATGTGAAACATAATTTCAAATAAAAACTAATATCATTACTGTTTGATATTAAGATGTTTTAATAAAAAAACTCCTAATATACAAGACAATTATTAAACCAATATGGTCCTACGGTCTACAACTATGGGGTGCGGCTAGTAAATCAAACATAACTATTCTACAGAATAAAATTTCAAAAAAAATCGTGAACGATCCAAAATATGTTTCAAACTGGTTAATGCATCAAAATCTTAAGATTCCAACTGTAGAAAAAGAAACACTACGTCTACAACACTCGTCTAAGTGGGCATAAAAATCAATTAGCATGTGACCTGCTCAAGTCTTTGCCGCCAAAGCGACTCAAAAGAAGAACCTGAAATGATTTACTTACTACATCAAACTATATAATATCTGGAACGGTGCTATCACTGGATAGCGATCTTTCGCACGCTGTCAAATCTAATTTACCTGATTAAGCAGCTAAATGTACCGTGTGCATAGTTTGCTATGTATGGCAAAACAAACAAAAAAAAGTTGCTTTTGTGATGTGATGAGTCAAACATTATCAAATTTAAAATAATAAGGTACAATTTTAGGACATACAAGCACTAGTGTCTGTGCACTATAAAATATAATTACAGATATTATAAACATGTTTGAGAGGTATCAATTACAAATAGCAATGTGTAACAAATTGAGAGCGATAACTATATTTTCCAAATAAATAGTTGAAAATTTTATTCAAATACCAAATTTTCAAATTCGGTTGATTATGTCAATTATTACACATTTCGGAAAGTTCATGCGACTTGCTTTAAGGCTTAATGCCACTTTCAACCAGTTATATTTTATTTAGAGATTTTTCAATAAGTGTAACAGTTGAATTAAAAATTGTATTGGTAATTGATTTATTGAAAATCTTTGCATAGATATATTCTATTGCGCATGTTTATTGTTTTCTAATTTGTTTAATGCACTTGTAATTATAATCGGAACTTGATATCAAAACAGCCTGGCTTACCAACCAATTTGTGTATAATTGATATATAATTATGATATTTCTAGAATAAGATTTACTACGAAAATAACCGCGATAACTTTCTCAAACGATGTGTTTATTGAATCGAATTAAGTTCCGTGTAGAAATTAAGCGGCATTCTTTCTTTTTGGCACGTGACACCCGAAGAAATGTGTCGGTCGCTATACTAGCCATGTGTCGCCAAGCCCCGTGTAACCCTGTAGCCCCGTGGCCGCGTAGCCACGTAGCTATGTAGGCAGGTAATTCTCGGTGTGGTGTCGCCGTCACGTCTACAAGATTGTCACTAAGTCCCGATGTGTTTGCTTTGTTCTTGGCAAATCTTTGAAAGAGAAATCAAAGGCGATGTGTTATGCTGCTTCCAGACGCGTGTGTGCGCGCGTGAACGACGTACGATTGCTTTTCCGGGGGTCGTAAGGTCGTTGCGTAATTGCTTCTCGTGTCATTCGGCCGTTACATGAAATTCTTTGTTACGTGAACAAGGTAATAAAGCATTGATGAAAGTTAGTTGGGACTGATGTCGATTATAAACACATTGGATATTAATGATTTCTAATACACAATAACCCATACTCTGAAATTGTTAAAAAAAATTGTAACTTAACTAATTACAAGATTTATTTTTGAAAACAATACATTTCGTGAAATAAGTGACCAAAGGATATATGTCTTATATATAGATTTGTTGTATCACGATTAAAATATACGAATTATGATTTTCATATGCATATAATTAACTCAGTTGCGCATGCCGCCACACAATCTGCATTTGTTTCTCCATGGCCAGTCACAAGTCTAAAACCAAAAACAATTTAATTTTATTATAAATTTTAATAAATATAAATATATAACATTGCAAATTGTTGTACTTTATCGTTTTCCTTAGTAGGTTTACACCAAATAAACCGAAAATCTAGTTGTGCACGGAATTTCAAAAATTATATTAATTTAATTTAAATTTTATTTATTATGATGCATGCAAATTCATATCAATTCTCTATAGATCCGCGTAGCTGTTAGATCATATTTCAATTTATTCTATATTTTATCAAATAAATACGACTTTTTTCATAATATAACGCATAGATTTTGCCTTAAACTTAAATGTCAAAACGACTAATATCAATACTCATGACCTTTGCTGGGCTTTTCAATATGAAATAACGTTTTCATATACGTAACTGTGAGAACATTATAGGCCGCTGTGACTTAAATGCAGCACAATTCATACCAAAAAATTTCTTTAAAGAATAGTATATTTTGTTTATTATTTGCATTTATCTACATATATATAAAAATAAGTCGGGTTTTCCTTTCTGACGATTTAACTCCAGAACGCACGAACCGATTTCGACAATTTTGCATTCGTTGGAAAGGAAGAAAGAAAATTAGTGGTGCATGACATTGTGCCATTTAGAAAATCATTGTTTTTCACATGGGCAGTTACACGTTGCCTGCTCACGAGTTGGCAAACCATCCGCTTTGTTTGTGTTAACGTCAGACCAAAAAACAAAAAATGTGATTTACCAAAGAGCACTTCAATGAAACGGATAATTTGCGGATTCACTTTTATTTACTTAGAGAAGTTCAACTATAATTCACTTCATTTTTGTAATTAAAATAAATTCATTACTGTTCAATAAATCATTTTTTTCTTTTTCAAATATAAAACAAACACAAAATTTCTTCATCTTTCTCACTAAACCATCTGGTGGCGAAACGGAGTTCGTCGGGTTTGCTAGTAGGCTTATAATTACTGATTTTTTGTTTCTTTGTTTTTTTATACAAAACAAAAATTATCCCATTAGGATAAAAAGGACAACTTAAAATTTTTGCATATTATATACACAGCTCTTCGTAATGATTGAGTGTTTTATTATACTCAGAGAAGTGTCATTCTATTTTTTTTATAAAGTATAAAAATTGTATTTCCTAAACTATTCATTTGAAATATGTAATAAACTGTTCTGAAATTATAGCAATATTGCAAGATGTACTTGACAAATATAGATTTTATATCCACATTTTATTTACATCAATGATCATATTTGATACTAAATTCTAGCTTCGAATCAATATATTTCCGAAAAGTGTAGTGAATAGTATTTACAGTAGTAGTAACAAATGCTGGAAAATTTTGCTTGCCTTGATTGAAATAGTAAGTAACTAGTACAAGTAATTAGAAAAGTTACATATTGTATATTATAGTCACATCCGCAACTACAAGTGTTTGTTTTAAGGTCTTACTATTAGTAATTTTTTAGCATATAATACGAGTACGACGATGAAAATCTATATTGATTTACCAAACACCTATTTCAATTATTATACCAAACTGTGTATAATAAATAAATTCAAATCTATATTAGCTCTTTTCGCGCCAAGGTATGTACCGAGATTGTTAATTCACCAAGACACCGATACACTCACAATCAGTGAAGAAATTAAAAAGAGTGCCCTTAATTTCAAGAGTAAAATTGACCAACATCCAAACAAACTGATATCAAGTCTTTACAACACCACACATAATATATATTAAAAAGAATACAATTAATAGATCTAACACATTAATCAATAATAAGTTGTTCTACCATACTATTTAAAATAGGTGTGTGTATGTATGTGTATAGGTGGTCTGTGTAATGTACTTTGTTTATAATTGTATATATATTTGAGTTTCTTTTTTTCTTTATTATACAAAAATCAAAATATAATTTAGTACAGTAATAAAAGGTGAACCACTGGGTTTTCCTTTTCAAATTTAATATGTTATTTGTCAAACTAATTACTCAATGTCTCTATTTAGACAGATTGTAATTCATAAGAAAATAAAAAAAATGAAAAAGTAGCTCCTTTACCTGTAGTTTTTCGTCGAACACGAGCCCTAGCGGGCACCGCATCAGGATCGCCTCATCGTTGGCACAGACGTAGAACTTGCCGCAATCTGTCTGATGAGGAAGCATCGATCTCGAAGGACATTTCGGGTCCGCATTTACCTCGCATTCAGAATCGCAGCTAGCGTGGGTCGGCCAATCACAGACCTATGCATAATTTATTCTTACAAACTCAATTTACGCACGGCGGCGGCCTACAATCAGGGCTCAAGACGCGATTCTAGAGTTCTTCTTCGGTGTACGTTTAATTGAAATAACACGAAAAGTATCCCGAGAGTTAAGTAAATTAGATACAAGATATCGATAATGAGATACCGATTCGTATTAAGTAATTCGGTGCATTAATTATTACTAATTATCTTCTTCCCGTAGAGTAAGTTACAGTAATCGCAAAAAAATCGAAAATGAAAATTTTTATAAATCTTTACGTTTCAATGGTTTCTGACCATTTTGAGTCCTAATAGAAAAAATGGTTGTGTGTGTAGGTGTGTGTGGATACAAATTTTCGTTGACTATTTCAGAAACAGCGATTCAAATAATTCAAAAAGCCTTCTATTCATATTAATGGGGAGAGCGTTCACAGTAATGGGGAGAGTTTTTGACCAAGGCATATCCATTTGTTTCAAAGATACGGGAAAAAGTGCCAAAAATGGTAATTCAGGTTTTGAGAGAACGGAGCGTCTGCTTTCAATGAATCAAGAAACATTTTACTTGTATTGACAAAATTAAAAACTGGTTAAATTTTTGGAAACTCAGGTCTAGTAGTTTCGGAGATTAAGTGAAAAAATGCTTTTGGCGATCAAAAATTATCAATATACTTATGCACATTAAATTCAGATATTATATAGAAATTCAGATATTTTATAGAGAGATCAATATAGTTTTATTAAATAAATCTGAATAGATATATTAAACTCGATTTTCAATAATGAATTTTCTGATGAGGCAACTACTTAAATTTTTTAACAGAATTATACAAAACTGATATTTTATCCATTTACTCAACATCGTAACTAATTATTTGAAATCGTAGAATGTAATAATAAAAAAGTTTTAATGGATTTATAAATAAGTTTACCTGGAGTTCCGCATTGAAATGTAGGCCAGTCGGACATTCAAATAGAACAGCTTCGCCGTTGCTGCATGCATAGAATTTTGCACATTTCGATTCATGTGGTAGAAATATTGTCGTATTTGTGCCTTCAGGGCAGTGCGAGTCTTTGTGAGGTACATTCATAACCTGGTCATATCATAAATTAACTTATATGAAGGAAAAACAATATCAACAATAAACATAATAATAATATACTCCGTGTGAGGTTGCAAAATAAAATATTTATGGTATTTCATTGCATACGCGGATGCGAAAAATTTTATTGCTGTATTAATAGATTTGAATGATTTAGATGCACTCTTTGTTCAAATTATTTTAATAATATAGATATATAGATATGTTTATTTTACATATATTTTGTCACGCGTGTTGTACATTGACATACATTAGATAGTGTTAAAATTATGTGACAGGAGCTCTTATATTAACCCTCCGTCGGTAGGGTATTTATTACCTTCGAACGGTCGGAGTAGTCTGGCTGGACCACACATTTTTTTGTCCTGATTTTTTTATTGATCGACAGCTAATGAAATTTTACGAAAAGTCCAGAAATTTTAAGTCGATAGGATTTCTAAAAGTTTTTTTTTTTAAATTGAAGTCGAAAAAAATCTGGCCACTCCGACCGACGGAGGAAAGCGACAAGTTTCAAAATTACCTACTTAGACTATGATAAAAACAAAATGTCTATTTTGCAATTTAATAAAAATTAATTAAATAAAAAAAAAATAATTTAATAAAAAGACTCGCCTCAAAAACATCTAAACGTGGCCCACATTCTGCCTTCTCCGACTCCACGCATTCTGTAGTGTTTGCGTCGAACAAATATCCGTCTTCGCAAATTCGAAGTGCCGGTCTCAAATGACCATCACGTTCTGTACCGCATTCTAAGTACATTTGGCAATTTAATTGATGTGGCTTGTTCATCGATCGTTCAAGCAAAGGCTGAATAATATCAGGAGACTCTGCCATGGCCAGAACACGCGATAAGGTCGGGCAGCCGACCAAGGATTCCTCATCGTCGGAGGCGAGAGCCACGGCAACCAGTGCCGCGATGAGAATTGTAGCTAAAATATTGCAAATATGAAAATATTTTATTAATAACTTAGGTAAAAAAATATTTAAATGCGTTTTACATACTTTATTTATAATTAACACATTCACGCCGGCATAGGCCACCGGTGACCCGCACTTTAAAGGCAATAACTACGCGCCGCCTAACAGAACAACTTATCAAAATCGGCCTCGGTGTGAACGTGTTAAGGTATACTAGATAGTATATCATTTGCAAAACAGTGAATGTGGCAAAATACAAAAAAATAAGTAATATTTGATACAAAAATTATTAGTTAAATCCTGCTTCATAGTTTGCAATTTGGGAATTCACCGGGAAAATCACTAAAATATATTGTGTGTTGAAGTTTAAATATTGCTTAGTCGTTTTTGTCGTTTTGTGGTTCTTGAAGTCATATTTTTATAAATTATGTCATGACGTAGAGAGCTCATATTAAATAGTTTTTGCTTTATCTTTTTCTGCTCGGTTGCTATAAAATTAATCATACTTTAAAAATTACATAATTTGAATAAATGTCAACAAATAAAATAGGGGTCAAAAAGAGAAAATCACTTTTTTTATTGCACGCAAATATTATTTATTATATGTATTTAGACAAATATTTTAAATTAATCGTGATTACACCTTATATGACTTATTCAAAAACCTATTTAAATGAGTTTCCAAATTCAAAACATGCAGTAGTTTCACTTTTCACTTGAGTAAAAATATAAAAGTATGAAATATAATCTCTACCTTTCATGTCGAATAGATAAAAAATACTGAAATACTTATATTTAATTAAAGTAAATGAAACAGAATGTTTTATAATATAATTAATCTTGAAAGATAACGATAAAAAATTACGCACTAACTTCTGGCCAATGCATCATATTACGTATGTTTTACATATTAATTTAAACAACTAAATATTATCATTTGTATTAGTGTATCAAAGGATTTATATATACCCATAAAACAAAGGAGATATATATATATATATATATATATATATATATTAATCAACATGATTATTGAAAAATCCTCCATGATCATGAATAAGCATTTTATTATTTATTAAAGTGTAAATTACCGCCATTTTAATGTGATTAGTCTACCGTGAATTCTATAAAACTTGAGTTAATATTTGCACAAGAATTTTCAGAGTATGGTCACAAGTCCTCTATGTATATTTGATATTTGATGAATGATAAGCAAACGTATACGTTGAAATGGTTCATACTTAATTTTTGTCTGCAATATCAGGGGCTAACATTTAAAGAACTGTAACCTGAAGAATAATGTAAATATTGTCAATATTTGCTAGGATCATCAAATATAAAATATACTCAAGAAGACTGAAAGTTTGCCATAGACAATATTCAAGACCATTAGAATTTGGAGAATTCTAACAGAATTAACAGAATTAGTAAAATCTTATTGGAGAAACAAATATTGAAACTGATATATTAAAATTTATGTGATGCATGTGAATGAATTTACTAAGCCAAATAGCTGATAAGATATTGTATTCTAACTGTTATTAAAAAAGGTGATTGTTATAGAATTCAAATATTGCTATAAGTTGTGATTTCTCTTTTTTTAGATTCATATATTATTGAATCACTTGAGTTATATAACAAGATATTTTTTTATTTCTTTTTTAATTTAATAATATATTTTTATAAAAATATGCGGTTCAGGTAATCAATGTATCAAAATATAGAAATCTAATGCAACATTCAAAATTATTTTGAACAAATAAATAAATATTCCAAAAGTATACACATGAAACAATGAGTCGGCGCAGAGAATTTTTTTATGAAAGTGAATGATTTATTATGCGCTGTGATATATCACGTTGTCGTATAAATCCTTGTTATTGTTGATTATTTGTGAAACAACACGATACCGCAGATATGACAGAGCTGAAATTATGTTTATTTTGAGCTATATGCATCTTGATTTTCAGCCACAGTAATGGATTGTTTGAGCTGAAAGTAGAAATGTATTGAATGAAATTTTAATATAGTATATATATATATATATATATATATATATATATTAGCAAACCCGACGAACTCCGTTTCGCCACAAGATGGTCTCGTGAGAAAGATGAAGAAATTTTTTGTTTGTTTTATATTTGAAAAGGAAAAATTTCATTTTATTATACAACAGTAATGAATTTATTTCGATTACAAAAATGAAGTGTTTTTTAGTTGAACTTCTCTAAGTAAATGAAAGTGAATCCGCAAATTATCCGTTTCATTGAAGTGCTCTTTGGTAAACCACATTTTTTGTTTTTTGGTCTGACGTTAACACAAACAAAGCGGATGGTTTTCCAACTCGTGAACAGGCAACGTATAACTGCCCATGTGAAAAACAATGATTTTCTAAATAATCTATTTGAAATTTATCCCGCAAACACTAAGCGATTGGCCTTGCGACTTGTTAACTGTCATTGCGATCGCAAGGCGATCTGGAAAATGCAATCGTTTGAAGTCAAACGAAAGACCAGTTGGAATCATTAGTATGTCACCAAATTGTCAGCAATTTTTGATTCAATGGTGAAATTCAGTGCGTGTACATCATTATTTTTTGCGGCAATAATAAGTCGAATTTTTAATTACGGTGCGTGAAGTTCCAGCAATTTGCATTAAGGCACGATGTCATGCCCCACTAATTTTCTTAGCTTGCGAAGCCCGAGACCTTTCCAACGAACTGAAAATTATCGAAATCGGTTCGTGCGTTCTGGAGTTATATCGTCAGGAGGGAAAACCCGGCTTATTTTTTTATATATGTAGATATATACATACATATATATATATATATATATATATATATATATATATATATAACGAATAATGGGTAATACTGCCCGAGGGCAGGTCCGTGAGCTTAGAAAAACTACAACTCGATTCAGGGAAGAATAGTGTGTAAGATTTTTCATTTCCATCTCAATTAAAAACATATTTTTGATTCATTTTTTTTTCAAGTAAAAATTGACATCACTACTGCATGATGCAGGGTTTCAAACTGACGACCCCGCCTACACTAATCTGTGACATCAACCAATCTCTCAAATATAAGGAAATCATACGTCCTTGTGAAATTTTATGTTTTTAAATTTGTTTAAATGTTTATACGTTAATATGTAAAATTTTGGATCGAGATGGTGCTAAGAATAAACATAAAACTGTTATAAAGATACGGCAGTTAGCAAGTAAAAAGTTTATTATAAATATGCAAATAATTTTTTTTTCCAAATCGTATATAAATTTCTTCAATACCAGATTTTACTATGATTCTGTAACAATTGTGCGAAAAAGACGCGCACCACATGGCGCCTAAGATATAACATAAAATTCGCAACTGCGACAAATATTTCAATTTCTGATCATTGCTCAAAAATGGCGCCGGAAGCTACAAAAGAAAATACACAATCCGATATTCAATTGATAATATTGGCAACACGTGCGATGAATGACACGAGAACGAACGCCATGAAATAAATTTCAATGAAATTCGCGTCAGGAAAGGACTGGCGAAGACGTATGAATGAAATTTGCTCAGTATAGTAATGCGTTTTTTCAATTGCAACGAGTTGTAAGGATTTAAATGATGATTTTCATAAACCAATTACTTACTTTTTACCATTGATATTTTATAAGGGGTAGTTGATAAACAAACGACACTCTTGCAATACATGTTTTTTGGGGTATCGCAAAAACCTTAGAAAGTGTTGCAAATTATGTTCGAACATTCTTTGCAAACGTATTTGTCAACAGTAGGCATAATAGATTTATAAAAATTAAAAAAAATTTACGTCGGTATAGTTCGAGTACTCAATAGTTTGATTTATAATTATCTAAATTATTATAACTAGAATGATATATCATCTCTTAGTTTTTTCCTTTGTTTTATGAGGTATGTAACTACTTGTAAAATAATCTGAAATTTATTGTTCTTATGCAAATATAAAACAATGTGGAATGTCATCATAAATATATAGATAAGCAGAAGGCAGTATATATTATTAGCAAAAACAAATATTAGTTAACAAATAAAATTCGTAGAATTATAATGCTTTTCTGGCTTTCTAGTTGATTTCAATGATAACTCTTGTCCGATTAATAGTTGTATCTTATATTATAATAATTGATAAAATTAAATTTTATTAATTATTATAATTATTATAAGCAAGTAAAGTATTTATTTTATATCAAAATTTTATTCAAACTGCCATAAGTTTAAGAGAAATCATTAAATTTAAAAATTAATATTTACATTTCATGAGTAATTAAGTAAAACTAAAATTTCATGGAAATAAACAAGTTTTTCACTACAAAATTATGACATTTTGTCTTTATTCTATTTTGTTTATTATACTGATAATCTTTAACTAGTTAATATTAATAAGTTAATATTTTTTATCAAGATTTATATTTCAAAATTTATTTTGTTTTAATATGTATCTAAAATAATCATAATTATATAAGTCTTCTCTCTATAATAATCATAACTTTTCCATTAGCTCTTTGAAATCATATTCATGTATCGTTTGATTATATAGTTTCATACAATAAATGCAAAAGAAATAAGCACAATGCTTTTCATCTTTTCTTGATTCACGACAATGGATCGTTATTTATACTGCAATAGTTCTTTGAATTCAATGGTGGTATTAAAAGGTAAAGTTTCACGTGGTAAAAATATTTATTGCACTCTCGCTCATTGAGAGAAATATTCAATTAAATTTCTTTACTGTTTCAGCTTAATTGGCATCAAAATTTGTTACTTAGTGTGTTTGGCTTAAAATTCAAGCAAAATTGTTACATTATTTGACGTTTTGAAGGCTTCTAAACATTTTGGTATACTTCAGAAAAAATTGATATTTGTGTGTGTGTGTGTTTTGTGTGTCCGCATTTTTTCGTTCACGTTTTTGGGCGCACGGATCAACCGATTTGAATGGTACAAAAAACATTCGATTCATATTGATATATAATAAAAATATACATACCTGTGAATTTTTATTAGAGGTTGAAAAATTTATCTAATATTCGCTGTTTTCCAATAACCAAACGATTTTCCCATTACAAAACCAATCACTTACCTTTTCCCTGTCTTTGATCAGCAATATCATTTCAAATCGTACAGGAAGACTTTCAAAAGTGGATGAAATCTATTGTAAAATGCCCTTAAGTCTAAAGCGACAGCGTCAATGAGTCATCCCAGAACAATGATTTCCTCTCGTATCCAAGAGACAGACACACATATGTATGTATATATATATATATATATATATATATATATATATATATAAAAGTGCCTGAGGCCATTAGAAGATTGAGCTCTCTCCTAAGCATTGTGTTGCGTTAACGTGGCATATTGTCATTTTTGTCGGACGTTCTCGATAGTGCGGAATGATTACGAATTGAAGTTCTTTTGATAAGAATACGTCTATTGATTATTATTACCCTGGTGAGGATTTTCTTGGAGAAACATGCCCCGAGTGCTTCGAATGAACACCTAGGTGCTAAGTCATTGTTGGAGATGCATCATTTTGTTAGCTATTGTGCAGGTCCGGGATGAATGGATTCGTAGAATGTATGCTTCTGGGTACTTGTGCAGCTTTCTATTGAGTATTTTGTTTTATAGTTGAGGTAGAAATTATTATATATGAAACCACTACAGGAAATGAATATGGTATAACTTTCTGTATATACTTTTTATACTCTAGACCTGTAATGAAAAATTATGTTT